AACGTTGTACATTTGCTGTTATGGTAAGCTTATATTAAAGTTTTTCTTCATTACCCATTCAAGCCGTCTCCAGCCATTATTTGTCTCAAAGTGGGTTCCTCGTCATCGAATTTGAAATATACATTAAAACAGCCCTGGGCGCCATGTTTATCACTAATATGTTTGGTTGTCGTTGAACCATGAAAAGAAGGTTAGCTGGAAAACATGGCTGTTTGTTTGTTATGAATTTCGCGCAAAGCTACACGAGGACTATCTGCGCTAGCCGTCCCTAATTTAGCAGTGTAGAACTAGGGATAAGGCAACTAGTCATCACCACCCACCGCCAACTTTTGGGCTACTCTTTTACCAACGAATAATGGGATTGACTGTCACGTTATAATGCCCCCAGGACTGAAAGGGCGAGCATGTTTGGTGTGACGGGGATTCGAACCCGCGACCCCCCAGATTGTGAGTCGAGTGCCCTAGCCACCTGGCCGAAAACATTGCTACCACGATGTATTTAATGTAATTTTGTGCTCGAAAACATGTCCAAAATCGGCAAAAATTTGCTAAGAGGATTTTGTTATATATGCAATTTATCTAGTAGCTTTTTTCTTTTAAACAGTTTTCTCGCACCCACAGATATATAAAACTGAAATCATGAATCGTAGTGAAACATTAAAATCGCTTTCTTTAACTTATTTTAAAACATAATACTTCAGCACATTACGTGTTTTAATTAATTAAATAGATGAACGAACTGTGCACTGAAAATAAGTTGTGGTTTACTGATTTAGGTGAGAAAAACCTTGGGGGGGGGGGACAATAAGTTCCCACACTGACACCATCAATGGGGTCTGCCCACCTAGCAACTGCTCAAAACCAAGATTCAAAATCAAATTAATTATCCACAAGCATAACAAGTTTCACCGAGATTGGATGATATCTTCATTTCTGGAGTCCACCTCCTCAAGAGGAGTACCAAATTTTGATGTACCCGTGCAGAATATGGTTAAATAGAGTATATTTTGGATATGTAAGGTTTGAATATTACCCAAAACAGTTTAGTAACCACTTTTTCCAGGTCTAATCCTTTAACGCCCAAAATAATTTCTGTCCATTCAACAACCCAATTGTGTCATAGTTCAACTGATGGCTGGATGTATATGTCACAGTCCTTTCTGAGGATGGTTACTTTCATGTACAGCTACTCGAGGGTTATCTGACCTAGCCGTCCCTAATTCTGAAGCAATAGACTAGAGGTAAGACACCTTGTCAACACTACCCACCACCAACTCTTGGGCTACTCTTTACCAATGAATAGTGGGATTGACTGTCACGTTATAATGCTCCCATATTTGGTGTCCGGTTTCAATCCAATGACCTGCAGGTCTGTAATACAACTGATGTAAGACAAACAGGTCTGTAATACAACTGATGCAAGACAAATAGACCAGAGAGAAGGTATCCAATCAACAGCACCCTACCACTCACTATACATGCTGAGGGATTGTCCATTACTTTTATAACATACTCAAAGGATTCAAACCCGGCTCACCAGCTCTGAAATCCACAGCTCTACCACAGGGCCAATTCACGTTCCTAATTCTGATAATTAGTTAGCCCTTGTAACATAAATCTTATTGTTAAGCACCTTTCAACTTACTGTAGTACCAGAGTTGTGTTAAATGAATTTAATCAGTTTGTTTTGTCCAAAACAAAGCAGCAGCAAAAAAAAAAAAGGTTAAATGGAACAAGCATTTAGATTGTGACATTTTGGTTTTTCAATACTGATGTACATCTTCTAAAATGTTAAGAGGTCATACAGTTTTAAATATATATATAATACATATTCTTAAAATGTTTCTATGCAGAAATAGATACTGTAGTTAGCTCTGCCTCTGGATCAAAACAAAAACTGTTTCATAAAGTAATTTATTATTACTGTATCAGCAAACACTTTTCATAGTTTTGGAATTTTATGGTGTAGTACCCTCACAGCTTCACTGAGTACAAATATGACTTAGTTATCCCATATATTCTAAGTGAACAAACATTCAATGAAAAACTAACACTGTAGAATGTTAAAAGAAAAACCAATACTTTTATGTGGGCAGCTTTCAAGTTACCACATCAATGGAAAAATACTGGCATTAAAAGAATAACATTCAACACAAGAAAAAAATGTAATTCAGTTTATTAAGGATAAAACCTGTACCTTTATCAGGTCAAGTGACAAATGTGTTTGTTTTCAAAACTTGTTCTTCATGAGTGATGATGAAAGTGGAGTTGTAGTTGTAAAATGAAGACAAACCTGGTTTTTACAAGTTCTGAGAACAATTTCTATGCACTCAAAGGGGAACAAGTAATCAGAGAATTTAAGTTTAGCAAAACTTTAGGACCTTAGCTAGGGCACTTTTATAGGGTTTGCTAAGTACAACATCACTAAAGTTTAAAACCACCTTATAGACAAAAATGGCAGTGAGGTGGTGAAATGAAACATATTTTAAATATCTTACAATAAATTTCATGAAAGTACTATTTACTTACTTCATTTTATTAACTATATAAACAAAAATTAAATTATTGACAACTTGTAAATGTCATTTTCTAAATGTATGTCCAATATAAAAGTGAATAGATTATTCACTGTCATGGACAGTGCAAAGATCACTGGACATTGAACAAAAAAGTATTCATATGGTAAGGTTAGTAACATGAATCATGACTTAACTCACATATAATTCAAACATTACAGTGCTGTGGTGCAACCTTGGGACCACATTGTGCAATAAGTACACAGGCTCAACTTTCAAAAGTACGTGTGTAAACTGTTTTGCAAAAAGGGTAAAATTAAAGAATAAAAATGTAGCAAACTTTTAACATGATTACATGAGTAAAAAAGTTCAACTAGCTGGAATAGTGTTAATTAAATAGCTGTAAATATAAAAGTCTACTATAAAGATGCCATAATTTTTGCAAAACAAATATAGTATTTTTCAAAGTTCTGTAAGATGAACATGTTAAATTATCTTCTGACTCACCAAAAAAAAAAAAACACTTTTGCTCTTAATTAAATAAGTACTGTTAATCCCAACAAAGACACTTTTTGAAACTATATAACTGCAAAAAAAAAAAGAAAACACTGAACATAAAAAATGAATAACCCTTACCACAATTTATATTAACTCTAGCCAGCAGCTGAGACAAGATGGCCTTATTGACGAAGAAGGCTGCTGACAGCTGCGCAGCCACACCAACACAAATTCTAGATCTTTTAAAGGGCGTCACTGTGATTAACCTCTGGTTGATACCTATTGAAAAGTACAACTTTATTATTTTACCTGCTACCATGACTACAGCTTTAAAATGTTTACCTTAACTTAGGCCTCAGAGCTGGACATTGGAAAAATAGTTGTTGTTTTTTAAGTTTTTTTTTTTTTT